CACACACACACACACACACACGCTTGCACACACACACACACGCACATACACACACACACATACACACGTGCATACACGCACACACACATTCTCATGTCTATTGGTGGGGAATGACACCTGCTGGAAACTGGGTTCAGCGTCCTATGAACATCATGAATAAAGCACCAGTCGAGACCCCATACACACACTCTTCGAGCTGTGTGTAGCGAACATGACAAAACATACATACAACATAATCACTACCTTACCCTTCCCCAACCGCATCAACAAACAAACTATGGGTTGCGCACCCATGCCCTCACGGTAAGTCAATACAGATTCAAGCTCGAATCTTGATGAAAGCATAGGGACATAATAAAATAATCCTAAATTATCTCGGGCCGGTGAGTTCAATGATAATATCCCAAGGTGGTAAAGAAAGGGGAGGAGGGGGAAATTGGCCATGTGTCAAAAAATTGTCAGTGATCTCATGAAAATGTATCCAAAGGTTCGACAGCAAACAGTGGGGTCCAAGCCAAAAGGTCAAGAAGGGGGTAGCGATACCTGGCGGAGTAGCTCCAGCACCGGCAGCACATAAGACGAACGAAATGGGGTTGTCACGCACTCCATCATGGGGAGTATAAGGGTCATCCCTAAACAACACAGCCTCACAGAGCAGTCCAAAAGCAACGTGTCCACATAAAACACGGACGTCACAGAAGTAAGGAAGTAAAGCAAGTAAGAAATGCAAGACCAGACACACCTCAGATACTGTTGATATAGGCAAGAAGTAATAGAAGGTCAATCGCGAAGTCGTTACCGTAGCTACGAGGATTGATGGTTCATTGAGATACTCTAAAAAATTACCAGTGCCCAACGGGGCTATGTAGCTTTGTCGCTGCACACATGAATTGTATACCCAAGATTAAATCCACATACAATCAAATGACTGTAATAAAATAATTATAATTATGAATTACCTGGAGGTAGTCAATGCAATTATGATTTGTTTTTGCGGGATCAATGATGATTTTTCAAGGTCGGCACCCACGCGGAACCGACACCCCTATAGGCCTAATGCGACTGTTTGTTTCCAAAATTATCAATGCACAAGATCATGCGGAACAACGTCATCGACGGTTCAAATTGCAAATTAAAGACATCCAAAAAAAACAGCCACTAATCTGGATCATTGCGCAACAATGAAACAGGTGAGGGTATGAACCGTTTGTCGGTCATTGAGTGCAAAACAGTGATTGATATACTATAGTAAAATTTTATAAAACATCGACCACGTCCCAAGCCCTTGCCGTCTTAGTTCAATGTCAATCTTCTAGGGTTATGATATAAACTATACAAAAAAGTGTTCATCCTAAAACTTTTGCAGTCCTTCGCAAAAGACACTCCTGGTCACATCCTAAACACAACAGTGATTTCGTCAAAACAAATATTTTATATTTTTTAAACGAAATTAAAATCTACTTATTTGACCCCAAAAATATCACCGTTTATCTCATGAGCGTTAAATGAGTGGGTTTCAATTTCTTTCAAAAAGATATAAAATGTTCGTTTTAACGAAAGCACTTTACACAAACAACGCCCAGAGAAGGAGGGTCAATAAAATACCCTTAAATCCCCACTCAACCCTTGGAGTCGACCATAAACTAAAAATATCATAATTATACTATATTAACCTCTACTGTGGTGTA